CACACACACACACACACACACACACACACACACACACACGCGCACAAATCTACGTATCGATATGGGCCACCCTCTATGATCGGTAGTGCAATTTCGAGAACTGCACTGTCACAATAACACTTCCAATAACACAAGAGTATAACCTATAACGTGTAGACACCCATTCCTGTCTCACATAGTTTTYAAACCTACCGAGTTGYGGYAACACATCTATATAACCTGAACYGTGTAAACGTCCATGACCATCTAAGCARTGTCTACGCATCCACCACAACTTTCTTAATCACTGGCCTCGTCGACCGTCTCAGTTGTTGCACGTCCTTTTYGTGGTCACCTTCAACTCTTGGCGCATTGTTGTCWTCTTTCTGTTCCYTCTYTTGGATCATATCCTCGCCCGTACTCTCCGATGTCATATCTATTATGGAAATGTGTTCGCGGGATCCCTCACCTTTCGTTGCCTGCTCTGTTGTTGCTGCCACCTCCTCTTGTGGCACCTTCATCGCCTGACTTTCATCATCCTGGCCAGCATCGGTCTCCATCATCTCATATACGCCTTGCCTCGCCGCCAATGTCACTACAAGAGACCCGAAAGATCCAACGTTTATTGTCCCATCGTTGACCCCCCTGTTGGCTGCTCTGTCAATGCGCCCGACTCCATGTCGTCGCTGTCCTTGCGTATCATTGTGGAATCCCCCATTGTGCTTCTCGGAGTGCTTTGTTGAGCACATGCTTGCTGTTGTTCATCCTGCACATGACCTTCGTTCGCACGTGTGTTCGTTTCGCAGGCTGGAGCCCCTCTGGCAGGCGCAATGATGGTGTTAGATGCGATAACGTCCTCAGTCTTCAGAGAGTTGATGCTATCGATTCCTTGTACTGCTGAAGCCAGTTCGATTTTCCAATTGATGGAGTCGTACGATACACTTGATGCAAGGTGGTAGAACTTTGTGTTGAATTCTAGCTTTTTGTTCGCACGCAGATGCTCGAACAAAGCTTTCACCTTTGCCGCTATAGCTTCCTCGCTTGCACCGGCGTTTTCTTTCAAAACTCGCCGAAAAATTTGCATTTCCGTCACGCTGTGTCATATCGCAGCGTTCTTTTTCTCCTTCGCGACCCACCCTCGGTCTCTTGTCTTCACAACCATCTGCCACTGGTCTGCAAACACACACGGTTCGAACACACCCTCATGCCAGAGAATATGATGACCCCAATCCTCCTCCGATGACTCTTTGTACTTGTCCTACAGCAAGTATGGCACTGAAGGGTCTGGGGCAAAGCCTTGAGGCAACGGTCTTCCTGGCACGAGCTTCGACGTGAGTGCTGTCATATCCAACTCTTCATCTTCATCGGTGTCCATGGACGTGAGTGTTCGTTGCTCGGCCTGCGGTGCATGTGTCGATGATGACCCAGCTGTCGGCGGGGCCATTGCACACCCATTATCTCCTCCCCCTGTGTTGCCGTGTGAGTTAACTATCCCCTCACTCGCACCCACCGGGTTTGTTGGTACACCATTTCTTTCTCTCCTTCCAGTCGTTCTTGTTTCCATATTTCCCTCATTCGCACATGTTGCTCCCATACTCGAACTCGCCTTCTCCGCAGGTCCGTAGGTGCTCCCTTGTGGCTCCTCGCCACTGCACCTCGTGCCGCGCGCGACGGGATGTCCTGGTCGGATTCTGATGTGTCTTCGTCGCAATCGATGTTGTTGAAGTTGCCGGCTTTACGTGCCAACTCTGCATAGTCCCGGCTTGACAGTGCTCTTTTCTTCATATTGAAATACAGATGCTCACAACGTGCGACAAACATGTGGAAAGCACCCATGTGCGAGCCGTGGTACTTGTTCATTGCTATCTCGAGTTGTTTTTTCCTGATGATGTAGTCGTTACCAACCGCCGACTGTGGAGCGTCACCGAACAAGTAAGCCCACACTTTCTCCCTCTTTCTACCAAGCTTATAGTATATGTCCCGGTCCTTGCGGTGCTCGACTTGGGGCTTTTCGAACCTGCATCTGTTCCTCGGATCCTTCACATAGAAGTCCAAAAACTTGGAAAGGTATGTGAGCTCTTTTGTCGTGTCGTCACAAGCGAACACGTGGTGTCCGGCGCGAGCCTGTTCCCAAATCAGTCCCGCATGCGCCCTGCCCAGCAGCATCACGCCGTCATCCTCCCTGATGAATGAGCTGCATAGCTTACGGAGACGTGCAGACTCTCGTTCCATCCAAGAATAAACCGCATCAGTGTCGCCCTCCATGCCGATACACTCCCCTGAGCACCTCACAAACTCACCCTCTTCAATGTTAAAATTTGTCAATTCGGCTCGCAATTTCGGCGCAACCGTTATATTGTTCAAATTGCCTTTTTGGTCGTGGAGGACAATAGCCATCATATCAATGTACCGAACTGCAATGTTGTCGTACTTGTTCACGGTTGTCGAAGGTGTGTAGTGTCTGTACCATGACCCAGTGAGCACCTCAACATCGTCCCACTTGTACACACTCTGCATCACCTGTTTCTGGTGCTTCATCGGCGGAAAAATGATCAAGACCCAGTTTTCGCCACAGCATGTCGTGAGGAAAGCGTGCAGTTCGGAAAATGCGTCATCATCCCACGAAACACATTTTTGTGATGTTGACATATCAAGAATGATTGCCCGTATCTTCATCCCTCTCGCTGTACCAACAACCTCCTCGTTGTCGATGAGCACTCCCTTCGGTTCGATTTCATATGGCAGGATCGTGGTAATCCTTTTCCCCACTTCCCAAAAGATGTGACGAGCATTGGAGGATATCCGATTAACCTCCGCTCTCAAGTGGTCCAAGCAATCGATCACCTCGTAGATGAAACACTTGAGGTGGAACGGGGTTTCCTTGTACATGGCTTGGGTTGCCTCCAGCCCCGCACCGTTCCCGCCATGAATCTCATCAGGACCGCCCATACGCCTCGGCACCTTCCTCGCCTTGTCGTCAGGGATGCGGTCGCGTTCCTCAGTCCATTTCTCATTAGTGAGGCCGTTTTTGCTGTACCTTTCCAAGATGGTCGTATAAATGATGAAGAAGTCAGCGTTCCACTCTTCCTTTGACCTCCCCTCGACCTTGAACAATATGTAGTTGAACATACGGACCATATATCTCTCACGCCGAGTATATTTTACCAGGTCGGCCATGTTGCATCTACCACGAGGTACCGTACGTGATGTCACGATGACATCACCACGCATCATGTGGTGCAGCGCCACTTGCTTTTCTCCCGCTGTCATATTGCTAAACAGCTTAAAGATTGAGGGCGTCAAGTCCGGTATAGACACCGTTGTGCCTTGCGGCCCCTTTCTGGCCTTGATGCAGTGGTACAAGACTTTTTTATCGGAGTTGTCGTTGAGGAAGTATTGCCCAGGCAGCCTCCCTTCCACTTTCCCCGACAGATCGACGTATCTCACACCGTCGATTCTTTGCAATAGTCCTTTCTCGTACATGTCAAAGAATTTGTCTACCAGTGGCCACACCGTCTCGCCGCACTGCGCAAGATTCATGTATCCGCGCATCTTGTTCGTCCAGTCCTTGCAGTAGTCGTTCTCCAGGGACGAGTTCATGAGACCGGAATCAGGTGTCATTTTGCAGGCGGCATTCATGAACGCTTCCCACTTTTTTTTCCGTTCCATTCCCTCGACGTTATTCGGGGACACGGTGCCCGGTTATTCCTCTTATCCCAAAATCTTTTGATTTGCCGCACAGACGATGAAAACGATCTCGGGATGGAACGCTCCTCCCTCGTGTTGTCGAATGTCGAGACGTACGGATATCCTCTCTTTTTGTCGTCGTCAAAGTAGACAACGCGTACGTAAGAGTATGACTTTAAGCCGTACACTTTCTCGGTCGGTGACTTGTCCTTAATGAGTCTGTTCATTGCCTCAGCCATGTGTTGGCCAGCAACAGCATACCAGTGGTATGTATGAGCCAGTGCGACGTTGAATTCCTTCGGTGTGATCCGTCTGCCTTGAGAGCCGTCCCCGTTCGGTACAATGAGAGCCAGGATGAAAGTCATGATATCCCACTTCCCGTTGGTTTCCTTAGCCGCATAATGGATCGCATCGTATATGGACTGCACCAATGTTTCGTCCAATGTTCTATGGTTGAAGCGGATGTCACCTTCGGGAATTGGCAAGATCTTCGTTACATCCACTTGAATGTGTTCCCGATTCTTCTTCCCAAACCCATCCTCATTGAACTCCAATAAGAAGCACCGTGTTGTGTCGATGGCGTTATAACGGGTGTTGACGGAAGGTTGTGTCTGTTCCGATGGAGCCCTTGGAGCAACCCCTTCGGCGTCCTCTCCGGAGTCACCCTCATTGACCATCTACTTTCTTTTCAATGGACGTTTCTCAGCTCTTGCCGTCCTGGTTGACGCCTTCCCTTTGCGGTTTTTCACGTTTTCTGCGACCGCCTCTTAAGAAGCTCTGAGTGCCTCTCGAGATGCAGTGACAGTGAGTCTCTTCGCAACGCGTTTATCCGCCGTCGCCGTTGGACTTATTGAAGATTGCCACTTCCTTTTGTGCACACTGCCCTCCGACTGTTCTGCCGTTCCCTCATCGACCTCCACATCAGCCGACCCTTCTTGCCCTCCACCCTATTCCTCACGATCATCTCCCTCTCTCTCTCTCTCCCTTTTCTCCTCTTCAAAATCGTCCTCTTCGACCCCACATTCCTCATCGTCGACGACATAATTTTCCTGCGGATGCCGATCAACACCAATCCCAGGATCATCCTCCGTTTCCTCGTCCGATCCTTCGCTTATCTCCCGCAGGGCCACCCTCCCGGAAGCAGCACCATAGTCTTTCTGGCGGGCAACAGACGGAGCAGTTGTGCATGCCTTCCTTCTGTATGTAATGACAGAGGTGCCTTCGTCTTGCCGGGTGGACGGCTGAGACGGTCCTGCACATTCCCTCCAGAGGGTCGATTCCACAGGAGGACCAAGAGCCCCTTCGTCAGGCTCATGACGCGACTAGGTCTGTTTGTTGCGGCGCCGGCTTCCACCCGCTGACGTCTGCTGCATTGGAAAACAATGTGGCGTCCTTTGTCTCTCTCTCTTTGCTATGCCGGGGAGATCCTCATCCGGCGTGTCAAAAGGCACGAGTGTCGAAGACATACGATGCTCGACTTGTACCGTGGGACTGTTTCCGGATCTCCTGTACCCGTTTGTTTTGGCGAGGAATTTCACGGGGCCAAGCATCGTCAACACACTCCCGTCTTCTTTCGGGGAGGCATCGAAGGCTTTCATGGTAATCGCCTTAGCTCCATACCCCTTGAGCAAATTGTAATCAAGGCTGACTTTATGGTCGACCTTCGCATGGTCCACTCCCTGTTCGTCAAACACCGTTGTGAGGAAAAATCTCCTGAACTTCCGTCCATGCCCGTCCGCCCTCTCATCGTCGGATTTAACAATCCCTCCAACACAGAACCAGTCGCCGCCCGTGGCGGTCTTCAGAAACACAGCGGCCCCACATCCCGCCTCCTGTAGGCCCCCCACCCAATCAAGGGCCCACTCCCTATCTCTATACATTGAGCAGGTCTTATAGACTCTCTTTTCCGGGACAGCGGATGCTCCTCTTGATGGTTGGCACATTCTGAACAGAAGAACGGATCGCTTTTAGATATCAAACCTTTCACTATCGCATCACGTTTTGAAGACGCCGCACCCCCTCCGATTGCCTCGATGCGAAACGAGCAGGGGTACGTCGTTTCGACAACATCGCACCCCCGCTCCCTTCCCCCCCCACCGCAAACTGGTGGGGGTAGAAATCAAAAACCAGAAAAAGATGGATTGTTTTGTGAAAAAATATTTGGACCTATAAAGAGTGGAAGATGTGCTTGTGGAAAATATGAGCGTATTCCAGAACAAGGAGAAGGAATTTTTTTTTGTAAAAAATGCTGGGTAGAATTTACTTATTCAAGAGTCAGAAGATATAGAATGGGCTATATTTCCCTTGGATGTCCAGTTGCTCATGTATGGTATTTAAAAAGTACCCCGAAAACGCTGTACCCCTTCGGCTCTGTCCACATACAGGGCCCAGGGGGTACGGCTATGTTATGATAACACCGCAACCTCGCTCCCTTCCCCGCCGACTACCAGAGGGGGTACGGCATTCCGAAAACGCCGTACCCCCGCCAATCATCGCCGGGGGAGGGAGCGGGGGTACGGCGCTCCGAGAACGCCGTACCCCCGCTCCCCCTCCGGTTGTCGGCGGAGGAGGGAGCGGGGGTACGACATTCCGAGAACGCCGTACCCCCGCTCCCTTCCCCGCCGACTACCAGAGGGGGTACGGCGTTCCGAGAACGCCGTACCCCAACAATCATCGGCGGTGGAGGGAGCGGGGGTACGGCGTTCCGATAATCCCCGTTCCCTTCCCCGCCGACAATCACGAATCTACCAACCAATCAAGGGATGAGACCTATTTTAACATTTTTCGAAAAAAAAAAAACGTGGGGGGAGATTCGCGAATCTCCCCCCAACCACCTACCCTATGGTGTGGAAACTGACGATCTACCAACCAATCAAAAAAATCACACATTTTTGACATTATTCGAAAAAAAAAAGGTGGAGGGAGATTCGCGAATCTCCCCCCACCTTATTTCCCAACCAATCATCTACCCTGTCGTGGGGAAACTAACGATCTACCAACCAATCAAGGGATGAGACGTTTTTTTATATTTAACGAAAAAAAGGGTGGGGGGAGATTTGCGAATCTACCCCCACCTTTTTCCCCCACCAAACATGTAGCCAGTGGTGGGGAGAGTGACGATCTACCAACCAATCACAAAAATACACATTTTTGCCATTTTTCAAAAAAACAAACGTGGGGGGAGATTCGCGAATCTCCCCCCACCTTTTTCCCCCACCAATCATGTAGCCAATGGTGGGGAAAGTGACGATCCACAAACTAATCAAAAAAATAATCATTTTTGCGATTTTTTGAAAAAAAAAAATGACCCTCCTCATTTCCCAACCAATCATCTAGCCAATGGTGGGGAAAGTGACGATCTACCAACCAATCAAGGGATGAGACCTATTTTGACATTTGTCGAAAAAAAAAATGGAGGGAGATTCACAAATCTCCCCCCACCTCATTTCCCCACCAATCATCTAGCTAATGGTGGGGAAAGTGACGATCTATCAACCAATCAAGGGGTGAGATCTTTTTTGACATTTTTCGAAAAAATAAAGGTGGGGGGAGATTCGCGAATCTCCCCCACCTTTTCCCCCCATCAATCATGTGGCCAATGGTGGGGAAAGTGACGATCTACCAACCAATCAAAAAATTACACATTTTTGCCATTTTTGGAAAAAAAAAATGGTGGGGGAAGTGACGATCTACCAACCAATCAAAAAAATAAACATTTTCGCCATTTTTCGAAAAAAAAAATGGCGAATCTCCCCCCTCCTCATTTCCCCACCAATCATCTAGCCAATGGTGGGGAAAGTGACGGTCTACCAACCAATCAAGGGATGATACCTTTTTTGATATTTTTCGAAAAAAAAAAAGGTGGGGGGAGATTCGAATCTCCCCCCACCTTTTTCCCCCACCAATCATGTAGCCAATGGTGGGGGAAGTGACAATCTACCAACCAATAAAAAAAATACATATTTTTCGCCATTTTTCGAAAAAAAAAAATTTCCCCCACCTCATCTCCCCACCAATCATCTAGCCAATAGTGGGGAAAGTGACGTTCTACCAACCAATCAAGGGGTGAGACCTTTTTTGACATTTTTCGAAAAAATAAAGATAGGGGGAGATTCTCGAATTTTCCCCCACCAATCATGTGGCCAATGGTGGGGAAAGTGACGATCTACCAACCAATAAAAAAATCACACATTTTTGACATTTTTCGAAAAAAAAAAGGTGGGGGGAGATTCCCGAATCTCCCCCCACATTTTCCCCCCACCAATCATGTAGCCAATGGTGGGGAATGTGAAGATCTACCAACCAATTTCTCGGCCTTTTGGCTAAGATCAAGTGTAGTATCTGTTCTGATCAGTTTAATATCTGATCCGTGGTCCATCGGGCCAAAAAAAAGAAAATTAAAAAAAATTACACATTTTTGCCATTTTTTTGAAAAAAAAAATGGAGGGAGATTCGCGAATCTCCCCCCACCTCATTTCCCCGCCTATCATCTAGCCAATGGTGGGGGAAGTGACGATCTACCAACCAATCAAAAAAATACNGGGAGATTCGCGAATCTCCCCCCACCTCATTTCCCCGCCTATCATCTAGCCAATGGTGGGGGAAGTGACGATCTACCAACCAATCAAAAAAATACACATTTTCGCCATTTTTCGAAAAAAAAAATGGGGGGAGATTCGCGAATCTCCCCCCACCTCATTTCCCCACTAATCATCTAGCCAATGGTGGGGAAGTGACGATCTACCAACACCAAACAAGGGGTGAGACCTTTTTTGATATTTTTCGAAAGAAAAAGGTGGGTGGAGATTCGCGAATCTCCCCCCACCTCATTTCCCCCACCAATCATGTAGCTAATGGTGGGGGAAGTGATGATCTACCAACCAATCAAAAAAATACATATTTTTTGCCATTTTTCAAAAAAAAAAAAAAGAGGAGATTCGCGAATCTCCCCCTACCTCATTTCCCCACCAATCATCTAGCCAATGGTGGGGAAAGTGACGATCTACCAACCAATCAAGGGGTGAGACCTTTTTTGATATTTTTCGAAAAACAAAGGTGGGGGGAGATTCGCGAATCCACCCCCACCTTTTTCCCCCACCAAACATGTAGCCAATGGTGGGGAAAGTGACGATCTACTAACCAATCACAAAAAT